GTAAAAGCCATCAGTTTCCCCATATCATTCCCACTCCTCACCACCACAAATTTGGGATATATCTGGCCTGGTAATCAGGTTTTAATCTCTGAAAAAACCTGAGGTTTAATTTATGTGACTTTCTTTTTCTTTTCTTTTTTTTTTTTTTTTTTTTTTTAAGATGGATTCTTACTCTGTTGCCTAGGCTTGAGTGCAGTTGTATGATCTCGGCTCACTGTGACTTCCGCCTCCTGGGTTCAAGTGATTTTCCTGCCTCAGCCTCCTGAGTAACTGGGATTACAAGCACCCGCCACAATGCCCAGCTAATTTTTGCATTTCTAGTATAGATGGGATTTCACTTTATTGGCTAGGCTGGTCTTGAACTCCTGACCTCAAGTGATTTGCCCACCTCGGCCTCCCAGAGTGCTGGGATTACAGGCATGAGTCACCTCACCTGACCTATGACTTTTTAAATAACATTTTGTTCTATTATATTTAATAAAACTTGACAATTGAAAAATGGGTTTCTCCACTCTAGGCATACAGTCCTTAACTATTATACGAGGAATGAATATTTGGCTACCAATAATGTTGACTTAGGGCAGGTTCACCGCCACTTGCGTCATAGCCAGAATATCTACCAGAGGCTGCCGCGACGCATTTCCCGCCTACCGGCATTATCCTGACATCATTATTAACGTATCTTCCATAGTTACAAACTCGATTTTGTTCAGCAGGTTGCCAGCTATAAAACTGCATTCCCTCACTCTCCCTTGCAGATAAGGACAGACGTGTTACTCAGCTCTCCCAAAGGTATATAGTAGGCAAAAAGTAGAGTTGCCAGGAGTTCTAGAAGAGTACTCTAAAACAGGGGTTCCCCCTTTCTCTCTTTCTGATTATTTTTATTTATTTATTTATTTGAGATGAAGTTTTTGCTCTTGTTGCCCCAACTGGAGTTGCAATGGCACATCTTGGCTCACTGCAACCTCCGCATCCTGGTTCAAGCCAATTCTCCTGCCTTAGCCTCCTGGGTAGCTGGATTAAGGGCCCACCCACACGCCCAGCTAATTTTTTTTTTTTTTTTTTTTTTTAGAGACGGAGTTTCACCATGTTACCAGGGACCGGTCTCGAACTCCTGACCTCAATTGATCCACCCACCTCAGCCCAGTGCTGAGATTACAGGTGTGGACGCCACACCACACCAGCCTCTTCTGTTTTAGATACAGATATGATGGCTGGAGTTGCATTAGCCATCTTTGTGGCTATCACACAATTTTACAAAAGATAGTTGGCGCAGAAAAAGAGAAGCCTCCGGAGACATTGCTTGCCATGAATAAGCCTTAATACAAATGAAGACTCCAAACTTGGTTTAACATTAAATAAAAATGAACTTTCGACCGCGGCATGGGGTGGCTCACGCCTGTCATCCCCCAGCACTTTGGGAGGCTGAGCAGGCAGATCATGAGATCAAGAATTGAGACCATCCTGGCCAACATGGTGAAACCCCATCTCTCCAACAATTAGCTGGGCATCGGTGGCACATGCTGGTAATTCCAGCTACTTGGGAGGCTGAGCAGAAGATCGCTTGAACCCAGGAGGTGAGGTTGCAGTGACGCTGAGATCCGCGCCACGGCCGCAGCCAGCCTGGGTGACACGAGAGACTCTCGCTCCCTCAAAATAAAATAAAATAAAAACTAAATAAAAACATGAACACTTCTCACCTTGTTTAACGCCACCTCTTGTTTCTGCTTATCACGCAGACTAATGCAAGTCCCGGCTGATTCACTGAAGATGTATTAAAAAAATAAACAAAAGACCCAAACCTTTTTATATACCCTACAATGTGGGAACAGCAGAATGCACCTCAGTCAATTCAAACATGGAATCACCATTTGTCATATACCAGCAAAATCATAAAATTATCTTTTTCATGCGCTGAAACGCTCCCACGTATTTTCTGTTTAAACTCATCTCACTCCATTCTGAAGTCTATTCAAGTAGAGGGCATTAAACACAGTTTTGAATTGTGATGAACATTCATTGAATTAATTCATGGGAAACAAGTTTATTTCTATTTTTATTGCCCTTTATTTTCATTAGCTGAACAATGAGAACATACCCTCAGGATACTAGAATGCAACAAAATATTAACTCTCTCAGAACTTAAGAAACACATCTATAGATCATTTTTTGTGTAGGACACAAACAGAAGGGGTAAAAATGGAGTGCTTAATTTAAACATGTGTATATTTACGGAAAGTATTTTTATTAAAAATTTTAATTAGTGCAACAACTAAATATTAAATCCCAAACAAACAAAACACCTGTCAAGCACAGTTATAAGGGAGAATACAATGGTGAATACAACATCATCGCTCTACCTTAAGAACATCATAGTTTGGTTTATAAAATCAATAAACAAAATTCTTTGTAGATTGAAAAATTGTGGTAAATGATGACTTAATAAAGATCACAACAGCAAGTTAACAGAAGGATCACAGTCTCCTCACTCCTAAATCAGTGCTTCTACACAGTCAGGGCTTCTGACTTTAATTTTTTTAAATTTTTAATTGAGATAGGTCTCACTCTGTCACCCAGGCTGGAGTGCAGTAGTACAATCATAGCTCACTGTATACTTCAAATTCCTCAAGGGATGTCCCTGCTCAGTCCCCTGAATAGCAAAGACTACAGGCACGGTACAGCTAACATTTGTAAAGATTTTTGTAAAGATGAGGTTTCACTATATTCGCCCAGGCTGGTCTCAAATTTTCTGGCCTCAAGCAGTCTTCCCACTTTGGCCTCCCGAAGTGCTGAGACTACAAATGTGAGCCACTGAAGGCTTTTGACTTTAGAAAGGATGGAAGATATTATCTTCAAATGACACATTATTGTAACCTTTTTTTTTCCATGAAGTAATTTTCCCTTTTCTTCTGAGGCTTTTCAAGAAACACGGAATATCTTCAAGTCTCACCATATTTGAACTCTTCATTTATTTATTTATTTATTATTTTTTTTGAGACAGAGTCTTGCTCTGTTGCCAGGTTGCTGGAGTGCAGTGGTGTGATCTTGGCTCACTACAACCTCTGCCTCCGGAGTTCAAATGATTCTCTTGACTCAGCCTCCCAAGTAGCTAGGACTACAGGTGTATGTCACCATGCCCAGCTAATTTTTGTATTTTTAGTCGAGATGGGGTTTCACTATATTGGCCAGGATGGTCTCGATCTCTTGGCCTCTTGTTCTCCTTCCCTCGGCCTCCCAAAGTGCTGGGATTACAAGTGTGAGCCACCGCACCTGGCCCATATTTGAACTCTTAACCAAAAGAAAGTGAGTTTTCAAAGTACAGAAGGTAACCTGCTACTTTCACTGACTTATGACTTGGGTAAAACAATTATTTACATCCAATCTTTGTCCTTTCCCCATATCAGATTACATTCAACTACATATAACAGAAAACCTAAAGTTGTATGGCTTAAACACAAAAAGGTTTACTCACACACATGACCAAGTTAGAGGCAGGAAGACTAAAGCGGATTAGAGGCTCTACAATTTATCAGGGATCCAACCTCTGTTAATCTTTTTGCTCCACTATTCTCAGTACATGGCTTGCATTCTGAAGCTCACAAAATGGCTGCCTGAGCACCAGGCATCACATCTATGTTCTAGATGGTATCTAAATAATATCTAATTATCTAGATGTTAACTAATATCATGAACCTACTGCCTGAGATTACCTGTATTGCTTACTCCACTAAACTAATCATGTTTTTCACCCATTCGTTTTTGCTGTCTTTCCTCTTACCTAATCACTTTTGTAGTGCTTATCCTAGTTTTATGTGCTTACAGATCTCCTGGAGATCTCGTGAAAATGCAGACTCTGATTCAATAGGTCTGAGGTGGGGACTGAGAATCTATTTGTCTAACAAGCTCTCAGGCAATGCCAATGCTGTTGGTCCACAGACCACACTGAGTATCAGAGAGCTAGTGCTGAGGTGAGGACTAGAACGACAGACATTCTCAACCTTGACAGTACATCAGAAAGGCCTGGAGAGTCTGTTAACCTACTCTATAGGTGGGTCTCATTCTCAGTGTTTCCTATATGGTAGATCTGGGCTAAGGACCAAAGTATTTGCATTTCTAGTAACTTTCCAGGTGATGCTGAGCCTGCTAATCCAGGAATTACACTTCAAGAACGAGCAACCTTGAATTTTAGTATGGATCTCAAAGAGGTGGAAAATATGGTGCGTGTAGGACAGTAGCATATCCCTCTTGCAGGACACCTACTATGGATGGATGATCTTTAGAAACTTGGGTTTTAAGAGAGATTTTGAACTATGTAAATGTCATCCACCACTCAGTACCAAATATTCTACATCTTTTAGGGGAGGTAAAGCCAAGTAAGGAAATCCTTTCATTTCCACTTTTGATTAGAGGGCTTCTTTTAGTTTTTCTTGAACTTTACCTGGTAGAAAATAACATTAATTTTAGGTAAATTAAAACTTCACATATCTCAAATGAAGCCTTGAGTTTTTTTAGTATTAATAATTCCACAGTATATCATTTAGAAGTCTCTAAACATAGACAAATAAAATTCCACAGTTACAGGTATCAAATTGTTGTACATTGAAAACCCAGTTTTTAAAATGTTGAAATCCTATGTATTCTCAGGCAAATGCAGACCACAGGAAAACCACACTTGTCTTTCATTGTTTTTTTTTTTCTCTAAAGTTAGGGAATAAACAACTGCTAACTCTGTATATTGATTTATGACAGGATATTTATTTCCATCAATCAAAAAACTTACTCTAAGAAGTGAATATCTTAAAAGAGTAAAAGACTTAGCTTCATAAAATACATATTATAAATGTACTTCACACATTTGTTTTTATAATCCTTCTAATACACTTAAATTAGTCTATTTAAAATAGCTATTTAAAAAAGTTATTTTGGTTTTGGTAGTAAGGATTTGAGGTAATATATATGTGATTTTTATTTTTTATGTAAACATTATTTTTTTGAAGTTTTGAAAAACTCTGCTCTGCTAACTTAATTTTATTGGGCCCTATAAAATACGCAAGAATCTATCCATTCTTAGTAATGTTTTCTCCTGCTATGCTTCTTTTTTCTTTTTTTCTACAAAAACAGAAAGACAAATGCAGTGTCTAGTCAAATGCAACACTCCTTCAGATTTATTAGAAAAGCAGATAAGAGAGTAGAAAAATGCAGCAATATACATTGTTTCATTGCCCTAATTTCATTTAGGTTTTTCAACTAGTACAGAACTTTCATAACTAACATACAATAAAAAGGGAGTTAGCTCTTCTGCGATAATAAAAATCTTTGACTCTAAAACATCTATTTTGAGCATTTTCTAAATAACACAGCATATGACATTTTCTGAAAGTAAAGATACGCATAGATGTCAAGTTTTATGAAATACTTTTAATAAGCACAGGAGTAAGCAGAAGTTCAGTAAAATTAGGACATGTCTAACGAAGCTCACTTATAAAATTACATTGATTTTCATCTATCTTGGTGTTCTCATGAAATTTTTTCACATGAAATATTTGAGATCTGAAACAAGATAAGAAAATATAACTGTATATCTTCCTCAATACTGATTTAATTCTAGAAAAACCATTCATAACTATTAACTTATTAATTGACAATTAACTGACAAGTTATATGAAATAAATTCATGAAATACAATATTTTATTAACAAATGAAATTTGTAAGCATTCTGATAGAGTGTCACACATTTTATCAATCACACAATTAACATTTAATTTTGGGAGTAAACAGAATGATTTTGAATTGCCTAACTAAACCAAAAGTCAAAGTTTCTCGGAGATAAACTCTAACGATATTTTGAAAATATTTTAAATAGCCAAAACTGGTTAATACAAATTTATTTCCCACATTTTCTAATAATTTTTCTAATGCTTTTAAAGTATCTTCTCTTGCTAAGATATCTACCTGTGGACATTAATTATTACATTTTTGAGTGTAGATACAAATTGTTCTTGGAGCAATTAAAAATCATTGGCTGAAATTTAATTTACATATGTTCGGTTGTCTTCATATTTCTTTTCACTTGCTTAATTATGGAAAAGAAAATTTATATCTGAACATAAAAGTACAATTAAAGTTAAGGTTCAGTTAATGATTTTTAATTGCTCCAAGAACATTTTGTACCTACACTCAAGAATGTAACTAATGATAAATGTCCAAATTTATATTTTAAAATTTTAGAACTGATATTATCATCAGAGCAAACTGTACATCAGAAAACAAAAATTGCATGACCATAGAAATATTTTATAATGATTATACAAATTGTATATTATGGATACCTTGTAAAATAAAACCTGATTTATTAAAATCACTTTTTTCTTTTGATCCAATATGCAGTTTCATATCAAGAAGCACCTTTAATTTGGAACTAAGAATAAGAAGACTAGTCCCAACATTTTTTTAAAAGCCACTCATTTTTAAAAATAGTTAACTAGTTAATAGATTTTTTTAAGTCTTTGTGTTTTCTGGATGAGAAATTTCCATACTGTTATTGTTTATAGATTTATAGAGTTTGCCACAAATGGCTATGAAAATGCTATTTAAATATATAGTTTCTTTTTAGATTAATAAAATATATTATCCTGTTAAAATGTTATACATTCAAAATTATTTCTGAATGTGTGCATTCATTTTTCCATCATTCCACAAATGTTTGGTAAGTGTTGCAGTAATAGATTTCATTTTTTCTCTTTTTTTTTTGAGACAGAGTTTTGTTCTTGTTGCCCAGGCTGGAGTACAATGGCACAATGTCAGCTCACTGCAACCTCTGCCTCCCAGGTTCAAGCGATTCTCCTGCCTCAGCCTCCCAAGTAGCTGGGATTACAGTCATGCACCACCACGTCCGGCTAATTTCTTGTATTTTTAGTAGAGACGGGGTTTCTCATAAACATTCTAGTCCCTAATTCTGACTGCCCATTTTCTTAAAGTAACTATAAATTTAGGTTGAGTCTTAACTATTAATACAGATGGTAATTCAATTTTGGGCATATTCAAGGTGCTAATCTCTGTATTTCAGAGTTGCAGCCTAATGCCATCAGGGCTAGTTGTCCAAATGCTTGGAGATGGCAGGTGGCAACCACAGATATGGTGGGCTTGTGCCAAACTCGAGAGTGAATGTTTTTGCTAATGTATTTATGTTTTTAAAATGTTAGTAGTAAGCCATATTGAGCAAATGAAACATATTTGTGAGCCTAAGTCAACCCAGGAACCTCAGGGTTGTAATTCTTTCATGGAAATCTTCTCAGGTAATCTTCGTAAAATCTCTGCCCCTCAAGTTTGCTGTGAGCTTGTTCTGGTCCTTATCTTTCCAATAATCCAAGAAGTTGAAGGGACCTGAGAACAAATCCACATGGGCAGAGGTCCAAGGACCGTGCTCTGAAGGATCCTGAAAGAAAACAATGCTGGGAGCACTGCTCTGAGGAGTACAAAAGTGTAAAAGAGAAATGAGCTTAATCACCAAACTGAAGACTGCACTGACGAATACTTAAAAGTCCTTTTTAAACCAGTCAGGTGGAGAGAATGCAATTATCTGGCCCCAAAGAAAATATTTCTAAGAACATAATTCTCCCCAAGATTTTGAAGAAAATATTTAATTCGTACATCTACAACACAAATTCATCTTTCATTGGCCTCTATAATACCCAGCTTTCCCAAATGTTCTTCCACAGCACAAAAAGTAACATCAGCTTTCATATACAAGGTACAAGAAAGTGTACAGTACAGTCATGACTAGGGCAATATATACATGCACCTAAAAGAGAATTAGCAAACAAAACCTTGATTTCTAGAGAACACGGAAGTTATACCAGACAAGGAGAATGTAGGGGAATCTCATATTTATAGTACCCTTACCTATACATGATGAAGTTTACCTCCATAAACAAAAACATTAGCAGATGCTGCTAACATTCTGCATGTAATAAACTCCTACTTATGCATCTGTGGATATTACACTATTAAAAGGCACATTTATTTCTTGACGCATGTCTTTGCTAATGTCCTAAATTTGGGTTCCAGTTGATCTAGAAACTCCAGTCCCTCTTCTTCCTGCCGGTCACTGCAGCACCCTACTGAGCCGGCCAGAGAACCTTTGCCTTCATAGTTATACGAACGAACGTAGTCTTCACAATGTTTATGCTCCTCATCTTGTCCACACAAATACACCTTCTGTATCAAAAAAGAGCACATTTTATTATTTTTTTAAAAACACCTAAACATATTAGCAGAAAAATGATGTCTTTGATTTACCTTTTACTGTTTAATTTTTAATCAGAGTGTGTCCTCTAATCGATTCCTATATATAAAAAATGCACAGGATTGGTCTGTATTATAGTCACTCTTAAAATATAGCAAATAAATAAATGCTTCTAGTGAGCACACTTATAAAAATTAAGACTACACATATATCACACAACTCATTTATAATTTTCCATTTGAACATAAAACATGTATATTTGAAATTTATCTTTGTAGCTTCTTCACATATTTGAAGAAAACCAATACAGGCTATGATTCCTATGTTTATACACTACTATATAACTGTGATAGTGTAATATATTAAACTGGCTAACATCAAACCTATACTGATTAATCTGAACATAAAACAAAACAAGGAACTAAAACTCAAAATAAAAGCTCAACAATTTATCTGGTTGATTTTGATAGCCAGGACTTCATAACCACACAAAGAACTCAAGCACACTGAGAAATGTTTGTAATTTATGATCCATTCACTCCTATATAATAAATATTTCACTCCAGGCGGTTTTTCTGTTAATTTTTAGGGAAGAAGCTGTCAACTTTTTATCCTTTGTAAACACATCTACATATGGCACTCCTAGATAAACTTTCATAAACTGTTTCTCTTCGGGTTTAAACCAGACATCCACATCTATGATAATCCAACATTTAAAAGATGTTGACTTCCAGGTATATGAGGAGTAAAACTTTTGGGAAATTCTGATTTATAACTAGCATTTAACTTCCATGTAATATGACCTCGAAGACAGTGGAACTTACTTCGCCAAGCCGAGGTTGGGTGAAACTCTGCCAGTCTGTGTACGCGTATCTGCTGGTATCTCCCTGCCCCACTCCCTTGACGGACTCCAAGGTCTGATGTCCACCTCCTTTGTTGGGATCCAAAGTGTAGCCTCCTTTGACCATCTCAAAACTTTGCTGTGTTTTGATTCCCTGGCCACCAACAGTACCAACAGACATGCTTGTGTCACAAATGTTGGATGTCTGCATGGGGAGTCTAATATTTGCTTCCTGAAAGTAAAATTAGAGTGATAAAGTGAATTTGAAAAATGGAAACTAACCACTCATTTTCATTTTTTTCACCATAGGCAAATCACTTGCCTGCTGTGCCTCTCTGTTCCTCATACATAAAATCAGAATAATAGTATCACAGGTGTGATGGGTTGAACTGAGTCCCCTAAAAATTCATATGTCCTAACCCTCAGTGACTCAGAATGTGAACTTATTTGGAAATAGGGTCATTGTAGATGCAATTAGTTAAGATGAGGTTATATGGGATTAGAGTAGGTCCCTAAGTTAATACGACCAGTATCCTTATAAAAAGGGGACATTTGGACACAGACATCCATACAGGGAGAACGCCATATGAAGATCTAATTTACACTGCCATAAGCCAGGGAATTGGCAGAAGCTAGGAAAGGGTCCTGGAACAGATCTCTCCCCAGTTCCTTCAGAGGGAGCATGGACCTGCCAACACCTTGATCTCTGATTTCTAGTCTCCGGATCTGTGAAACAATCCTTTTCTCTTGTTTAAGTCACTCAGTTTGTTGTGACAACCCTAGCCCTGTAGAATTGGGAGGTTTAAATGATTTAAAACATTGAGGACACTTGAAACTCTGCTTAGCATAGTAAGTGCTCAATAAACATTAGTGATATTATCACTGATATTGTTGTGTAATAATCTGTCATCATTTGTTCACCATACAATTCAAAGGGATGTGAAATTTGATTTACCGTTACTTCTTCTCCAGGTCCTTCAGTATTTGATACAATTAAATTTTGCTGGGCTATGTCTTCTGGAAAACATTTCTTGACTGTTCTCTTAGCAGTGACACAGAAACATGTAAACAGAATACCTAAAAAGCAAAAAACATCAAAGTAAAAGACATTAAATCATTTGATTACATGATTTTTTTAAAGTCTTCTTGAATATGTCTCAAAAAATTCATTCCACAAATTGAGTTCTTTAGGTCACAAGATTTAAAAACAGAATATTTTTAAAATGTATTTATACTATTTGTAGCTTAAAGAGATTAATAATACTCTCTTCCCAGGTCCAGAATTAACTTATGTGTGTCTTTTATTTCTTCTACGTTGAAATGATAACTTCATCTAACTGAAATTTAAGATAGCATCATTAGTAGTTAAAATCACACAGAACACACTTAAAGGGCTTAGAATAACAAGACGAAGAACATTAGGCATAAATACAAACAAGAAAGGCAATTACAAAAAATTGGTGTCCAGTTTCAAAAGTGTACATCAACTAATAAAGTGCTAAGAGGAATATCCAGTTTAATCTGAAACTCAGATCAATGAATTAGGATACAGTAAAGATTATAGGAAAAGTTCGTAAATGCAAACGGGTTCTTTAGAGTCAGAGGAGAGAGTAAGAAAAAGAAAAGGAAAGGAAGAAAGAAACAGAAAGAAAGAGAAAAAGGCAGACTTAATTAAGCGTGGACAATATTTCTATTACTTTTGTACCTCCAAATAACAGTTTGCAAAATCTTAGCATCTTTTGCCTGTATTGCTTTTCCTCAGTGGCTCATGTGACCATTTTCCACTCATGGAAGTCTTACGATGATGCTAAATCACTTCATTAATAATATGGAACATAAATGTCTGAGTAAATTTTGGAATAGCTCTGTTTTCACAAATTCTTTTTCTATGTGTGTATTCCCTACATAAACATGGCTGGTTCAAAGACTATATTATTTTATATGGATGGAATCTTAATAGTTTTATCCAGCTTCTTCATTTTACACATGGAAAAATGAGTTCAAAAAAGAGGAAATAATTTACCAACTGTCTCACAGACAATTATTGAAGAACTAAGGCTACCACCTCTGAAATTTACTTTAAATTTAATCTGCTGTTACTGATATGTTTCTTCTATCACTCAAAGCGCCAAGACATAAAATAGATACAATATTTTTAAAAGAACACGTTTCCCAAAGGCATTAATATAAAAAACTTCCATGTTTTAAAAATATTAGATAAAATTTTAGCTAACACATTCTAGATAATGATAATATACTTACATAATAATAATACAGAACCCAACACCATAGCAAGAATAGCCCATCTTCCAAGTATTACATTTGGTCTAACGTCTCTTGCACTTTTATCGTTCGTTCTACACTCAGATGGAGTTGAACAGTCACATACTCTCACTGTTAACACATGTGTTGCAACTAAACCATGCCTGTCTTTTATTTGAATAGGCACAGAATAAGAGTTATAATCAAGATTTTGTCGTTGGCGAAGAATGGCTGTTTTACCTAGGGAAAAAAAGAAAGAATATATACAGATAGGATGTTTAGATAGCAATATTATTCTTACTTGATGTTCTCAGTGGACGGGAATCAATTTAGAATATAAACCCTAATTTTTCATTTTTTTTTTAAATTTTTGATTTCTCAGAAGAGCCAGAAAAGTAATTTATGTTGCTTTATGCTGTTATTAAACTAATCTATACTTAATATGCTGCTCAAATGTTAATTAGAAAGGGACTTACATGTTTTCTTAAAGGATATTCAGAACAAGAGTCTAAGCTCACCATAATGGCATCAATTTTTTTTTTTTTTTTAAAAAACAAGGTATTGTTGTTTTTAGGGTTAATAAAATAATTTCCTTAAATAAATGTATATTTATTATGATAAACTAAGGTGAAAGGACCATCACCAATCTGAAGTCCCTACTGACTATAACATTTAGCATAATTACATACCATCCTTTTGTTCTAGTTTCCAGTTTTTACTGGCAGAGTTATCCAGAAAGAATTGAAAAGGTGGTCCATTTTCAGGTCCATCTGGATCTACAGGTTCCAGAACAGCAAAATCCTCATTATTCTGACAAATGGTTACTTCTTTATCAATTTGAGGTGGGTGATCATTGTAATCATCCAAATGAACTACTAATGTTCCAGTGCAAGATCGGCCAACTAAGATAAATTAAAAATAGGTTATTTCTTCACATGAAAATGCATTTATTTTCAACAATTTATAAAATACACAGTTGACATCTGCTTTCTACTAGCTGTCTGAGCTTGAGTTTGTATACATGCTTCCCGGATTTCAGACATCAAGGCTACAAAATAGGGACACGTCATTTTTCTTTGAAGACTAGGGCTGAATCAGATAATTTCTTCAGGTACTCTTCAGAATTAAAAGGTAGAAGGTCACTACAGAATGACCTGTTGAAAATCAAATGGATGTCTTAAATCCTTCTTTATGCAGCGTATATATTCATCCTTTTACATTTGGTTATCAATCACTTTCTCGGCTTCTGCATTGCATCATATACTTTTTGCCCAAACCTTGAAAACGTCTTTAGAAATGCACTAGGTGTTTCCCTTCCTGTCTGCTTTGTAGGTTGCCACTCCTAGGAATACTTTTCTCCTCTTCTTTGCCAGGGAACACACTATTATCTTCAAGAATCTACTCAAATGTCACCTCCTCATGAAACTTGTGACTTCCACAGACAATGGCAGCCATATTCCAGTGCTTTCTCAGAACCCTTTGCTAATACCTTGGCTCACACACTGAACTGCAAAAATAGCATAGTAAGTTGTATTCACCTTGAGAGCCTAGTGATTTGCCCAGTACTTCCCAGCTAACTATAACTTTATACTAACACATTGAACATAATGCAGTTCCTATTTTAACTTTATACTAACACATTGAACATAATGCAGTTCCTATTTTTATACTTGAAAACGTTGAATTGAATAAGCCAGAAAAATAAGTTTTCATCTCTGCCCTAATGCCATTCATATGTTCTTGACAACAGGAACTGTCTCATACTCACCTGTTGATTGCCACTATTAATGGCCTAAGACTTCACACATAGTATTTTTAGTTAAAATAGTGCCCATTATTTGTGTTTAAGAGATAATGAAATTCAGAAACATGTCAAATCCCACCATTTGTCAAAGTATAATAAACTATAATAAATGATAAGATATCAAAATTGAAATAAACAGAAAGGTAATTGATGCAGTTTTTCATGTTTTTGTTTTAAATATTGGTCCACATTCTGAAACACGTCTGTTGAATTTATCATAAAGACTACTATAACTCTCATGCAAATATAATTTATTTTTCTTTTTAATTTGAAATAACCCTGAGTCATATCATGTAGTGTATTTCAGGAAAATTTTTTTCTGGTGAATAACTACAAAATTAATTTATTCAGTGATTTTTAAACTAATTGTTTAAATAAAGTAACTACTATTTATGCCTATTTTAAAACTATCTGAACAAGTTTAAAAATATCCAGAAATAAAACAGAGATATAGCTATTAGGAGAAGAAATGTACAATAGCATATAAATACTTTGAGACTGCCAGAAAACAGCAAATAAATTTGAATATAAGTAACAACTTTAAAATCAGCAAACTAACAAAGAAATGAATAATGTGGAAAAGAGGGCTTTATAAAGTAAAAAATTTAGTTACATGCACTACAGATGACTTGATATATATAGTATAATTTCACCTTTTAAAATTTAAGCAGAAAGCCTTTCTCTTTGTAGAAAAATGGTGAGAAAACACACTTTAAAAATCAAATAAAAATGTGGTAATTATAGGAATATAAATCAAGATTTATTTAATCACATATTCAACCAACATTTATCCCATAACTTACTCTTTTCTATTGCAGTCTCTGTTTTAAGCATGTTGATAAAAACAGAGTGAAAGATGCTTGAAACTATTTACATTGAAGGCAATCAAAGCTAAAGCTGAGAAGGTCTTAGAACAGGGGTGTCCAAAATTTTGGCTTCCCTGGGCCACACTGAAAACAGAATTGTCTTGGGCCACACATAAAATACACTAACACCAATGATAGCTGATGAGCTAAAAAATATATGTTGCAAGCAAATCTTATAATGTTTCAAGAAAGTTTGTGAATTTTGTTGGGTCACATCCAAAGCCATGCTGGGCTGCATGCTGCCTGCAGACCACAGGTTGGACAAGCTTGTCTTAGAAGATATCAAAAATTACAAGAGGTTGATGGTTAGTTTTTATTTTACCCCTGGGAAGAGGTAAACAGCCAAAAATAAGTAATTACTGATAATAGCTGAGCATGGTGAAAGGTCATTGGGTGCGTTTATTTACTTCTAAAACTTACCATAAATTAAGCACATAAGCAAATGCCAAGTATAAATGAGTAAGAAACATCACAAACACAGAGCTAGAAAGTACACCTTGGGTTAACTAAAAATCTTCATAACACTTCAACAGCAATTCTGAAAAGCAGTAGTTTTTTCATTGCTACTCAAATTTTCAGTAACTAGAATCACTACATTATAAATCAGCCTATTCTATAAATTTTAAAATTGTTAAAAGATTTAAATTTTTACTTACTAAGCTACAATATACCTCCTAATAATTTCCTATAATTTGCTCATGTTCTTTTTGGACTATCCATGCAAAACGTTTGCCACTTCTACATGACAACCCTTAAATATTTGTTATCTTAAGAAAATCCTTTTTGCAGAAGGGAAGAATAAAGAAGCACTTAGTAAATGTTTAATCTCAATTTTCTACATTAAAACCAGTTTTTCCAAGTGCTAATTATGTCCCTAGAATTGTAAAGCTTTTTGTAGTGAAATTTATAACCTGGAGATTCATAGGACTCTCAAACAACAAAGGAATGACAAATATCAGCACCTGCACTGTGTGTACGTATACCACATTTTCTGCCAGATACTTGGAAAGGGATGATTTACAAAGAAAAACAGTCTTTCTACAAAATTGAACTCATAATTAATCTCATTAAGAGAACAGAATGTACATGAGAAACAATGAAAGCAGCCTTTTCTACAGAAGCCACACCATATGTGATAAGTGTTATTCCCAGTTCAAAAGGTATTTAGAGAAGAACTGAATCCAGACTAATGGAAACGATCACAAATCTTGTCATTGCCATTTATTTGAAGAAGTTAAGGGACCTGAATTTCAGACAGGAGGAGCAATGCTACTCTACGTGGAAGGCATGTAAAACAGTGCTTTCTCGACTGACAGCCTGACTGACAGAGGATTGACACAAGAAAGAAAGTTGGATTCTAAGAAAGGTAGAAGAATGCCTAGATTATCATCTAGGAATATTCATGAGCATCAGAGCAAAGTGTGTGTGTGTGTGTGTGTGTGTGTGTGTGTGTGTATTAAAGTTCAAAGAAACAAAATCCTTCATATCACTATATGGTTTTTCACTAAAATGTGTAACAATCTTATCTTTACTTTTTCTTAAGCACACCCAGGTTATCTTATAGCCATGGAATATAAATTCGTTAAAGTTTGCTTTTTATTTTCTTACACTATGATGACTGTGCTTATAGACATTGTCTTTTAGCACCAAAAAACAAAGTTAATTTTTAAATACTGTGTTCTCCATAATTTTCTCTGCTTCAGACATTATTTTATTTTTAAAAAATTACACCTCTGCATTTCTGTAATCTCTTCTCTTTCATCCTTAATCTGAGCAGCTCTTAACTGATCTTCACTTCTGATAATATCCGTACATTCTTTATGAGGAAAGTTCTCACACCATAGAATCTCTTGTGAAAATATAATAATTCTATAGTTGATATCATGTAAGAATTTGGCCTTATCTTAACATTCTTAATTTCCATGTAGCTTGTCTAATACTTAGAACTTAATAGACAAACCAACAGTTGCGGAATAAATGAGTAAACATAAAGTATTCTTTGCAATCATAGAAAAAAATAGGGTATAATATCTGAGAACACATTGTTTGCATTTTGTTATTAAAAAAGTCAAAAGGACAAATAAATAAGCATGAACATTTTCACTACTGCCAACTTGTGTTAATTACCATGGAATTTGATATGTATTTATTAATACATTCACCCATTCCTTCTAAAGAAATGCAATAGATGCAGTAAAAAAAACCTGTAGCATTGCTGTATCAGCTAGTTTGTGTCGAACATCCAGCATATGCAGATAAAAAGAGTGGAAACCTTCTTGGATTAGGCACGTAGTCAAAAGAATAGGCTACGTTATAAAAGCCCACGTTCATTTATCTTTATTATTTATGGCAATTTGCCACAATTTATGGTAAATTTGTCATCAATATGATAAAATGAAAAAGTGTAGCTTCTACTTATATTTTTATCATCCTTTTAATATGTTTCGCATATTTTTATGATGTATACATTAATATAGTAGAACATGTACATAAATACATATGATAGCAAATATTTAAAAACATTCATAAATATATATTTAAACATACTAACAAGTGGTTTACTGATAGAAATGTGTATGTTCAAAAGAAGTTCCAGATCACTGCTTTGTTATATTTGGAGGACATTCTTTACAGAATTGATTCTAAAATTGACCTTGGTAAAAGACTGCAAATCACCACAACAGACTTAAGTCATTGTTCGACCATTCCTTTATAAAATAGGATAAATGATTCGTTCTCCATTAAGAGAAGCTCAGAACAAATTTACTTTGAACCCACCTGTTTTAGGTGTGTTGAACCCTTTCAGCAAGCTCAAATCATAACGTATCTAAACCTGTACTTCTGAAAAAAACGGTGATCCTTGAGTCTGCCACCATTTCCTCAGCAGAAATTAATAATATAGATCATCTTTGAAATCTTAGACCTCAATTTTAATTGTGATGCAATTACATTTAAATTTATTGTGATATAATTAAGCCTTAAGCTTTGGTCATTCACTACCTCATAGCTTTGCATTATAGATGCACTTGAGCCAAAACTGGGTGATCTCCAATAACATGAATAATAATAATGCAAACACTGTTTGAATTATGTTTTGTCTAGAAATAAACAGATTTCACCCAAGGTTTCCTTAAAAACATATTCTATATTTATACTTTATCTTAGAAAATGACACTCACCTGCATCCACTGCAACAACTGAAATATTGTATTGGTTGTTTTTTACAAATTTGGATTCTCTATCTAGTACTTTTAAAGTTCTCAAGTCGCCAGTGTGTTCATTAATTTCAAACCAGTGATCTTCATCCCCTAACTTCTGATACCTAATTTTTAGAAATCAAATATAAATGGTCAAATCAAAGAAGGGACATGATCTTAAAATCTATCATTTTGAAAATACAAGAAACATTCCTAACTTTAAAATCAATTTACATAACAATTAAAACTAAGGAGCTTTTTGAAAAGTACATCACCTTAAGCCTTCACCACTGGCTGTTTCTGGGTCCAGTGCTTTGTATCCAAGGAGTTCTTGGCCAGCTGGGAGGCCATCTTGACTCTGAATAACTTTCACTGGAGGGTGGCATTCAGGGCCCTCATCATTGTCTATAATTTTAACGGTGACAGTTGTAGTGCACATTGTAGGAGTTTGTGAGTTCGCTGCTTTAGAGAATTGTGCCTCGTTAACTACACCAACTTTCAAAATAACTTGGCGATTGACTTCATAGTTCAATGGCTGTTAAATAAGCATACCTTAATAAGTCAATATATAACATTATATATAAGGCTTCTAATTTCAAATTTTTCTACAAAGAAATATCATTTTTACATTTAAAATGTAACCCAAAGTTAGGGCTAACACAATTAAAGACTAATAATTAGCTTCCTAAAGTGACAAACATTGCCAAATGCAAAATTGTTGATTCTTGGATTCAACCCATTTTTCTTCTCATTTTTCTTTTGGAAGATCTTGCCTTTAGCCTTTTTGATTTTAAGTTTAAATGTTAACAGAAATGCAAGATAAGTGTATGAAAAAAATCAGATGATTTCATTGCTTATTATATGGGATAACAGTGACTACTAAATTGCCTCCAAACTAAGTATATAAAATAATTAGATAGAAATTTGGCTATAATACAGCAGTTACTCTATGCTTGAGTCAAAAGATAGAATGATATTTAACAGCACCTTTTCAAAGCACATTAGATTTCAGGCTGTTTAGTTCCTGATGAAAGCGCTTGGTCCTTAATGTGATTGGCTGTGTCCCCACCCAAATCTCAACCAGATTTGTATCTCCCAGAATTCCCACCTGTTGTGGGAGGGACCCAGGGCAAAGCAGTTGAATCATGGGAGCCAGTCTTTCCTGTGCTATTCTCGTGATAGTGAATAAGTCTCACAAGAGCTGATGGGTTTATCAGGGGTTTCTGCTTTTGCTTCTGCCTCATTTTTCTCTTGCTGCTGCCATGTGAGAAGTGCCTTTTGCCTGCCACCATGATTGTGAGGCCTTCCCAGCCATGTGAAACTGTAAGTCCAATTAAACCTCTGTTTGTTCCCAGTTTCAGGTTTGTCTTTATCAGCCACATGAAAACAAACTAATACAGTTCTAAACTGAATAATTAGAAATAATCCTAAAACAACATTTAAAGGGTGAAAAAAATAAATAAGTAAAGGGGGGAAAAACCTGCAACCGGAAAAGGAAAAGAAATAAAGAAAGAAAAAGTAGATAGTAAAATAATTAAAGAATATTTTCTAAAAATCTTATCAGGAGAACACAATGTCTGCCTGAACCTTCTGAGGACTTACATTGTCTCTAAGAAATTAATGAAGGAAGCTATGCAAGAAGTTAGTGAGAGCTATGGATAGATGGACTAAAAAAAAAAAATTAGGTCCAGTTAAAGTAATCATCCTAGAAACCAGTAATTGCAATTAAATTTTTAAAATCCAAAGCAATGGCTACCTGGAATACAGGGGGATTAATGGGAAAAGTTGCTGAATATTTAGTGCAATAGTCTCTCTTGCAGAATACATCATAGAGAGGCAAAAATAAAGTATAATATGAACATGAAAGGAGTTGAATAGTTGAGGCTTGATTTCAAATGTGATTCTTCCATTTTATTCTTTTGTGTGTTTTTATAAAATAGAAATTTGGACAAGTGAGTGTCTAAGACCCCTTCTAAAGCAAATAACTGGTTCAGTATTGAATATTTCTCTGTCTTGGTTTTCTTCATATAAAGAACAATGAGTTTTGTACCTGACATGACTTTCTTCTACGAGAGAAAATTAGGGTAAGAGAATAAGAAAAAAAAAAATTTATATAAACCAATATAAATCATTTGGCCTTGCATTGCAGTGTTCTAGTCATATACACATAAGAATTATCTCTTAAAATCAGTGCATAAGTTAGGATATTTTAAAGCATAGCGTGATTATTTTATTTGTTTACCTTGACAACACACAACACTCCTTCATTTGTATTTGGATCCGTGCTAATTTTGAAGTTTCCATTTTCATTTCCTTGTAGGATTGTGTATACAGCCTTTGAGTGAGGAGTGTTTGGCAAATCCTGGTCCTGTACCTTCATTCTTAAAATCTCCACGTCAATTCTGTTTTCTTCTACTTCTGTAATATACTGAAAGAATTGTCCCTTATTATTATCAATTTACAACTTTGACAATGTGGCTTTATATTCTAAAACATGTATTTAAAGAAAAAATAAAGCGATGTGAAAAGCTGCCCTCAATATATTGGGAAACGTTTTACAAATTGAATGCGTAGCTTAGTTCTTTCCTCGTAAATTGCCTTTTCATATCTTTTCCATTCTTCAAAGGCTACCCCAAGTCTTACCTTCTGAACTTCTCTGAGATTATTTTCCTAATCATTCTAGAACTCAGATTTGTCTCTTCTCTGAACCTCCACAATATTTACAGTCTATCGTCTTCCATGCTTACACAGTAAGCACTTAATAAATGTTTTACGCTAATATATTAAACACTCAGTACTTGTAGGTAATTATAACATATGTTGGCTTCTAATTTCTGGAAGAATTGTTTTCACACCAATCTTTCCAAATGTACTTTTGATTCACTTGCTTTAGCAGAAAAGTTTTCCTTTTTTTTGAGACATTAAACAATAGCCCTCCACAAAAAATATCTTACAAAATCATAAGATATTAAAGACTGAAAGAAGTAGTAAATTGAATCTGTTAGAGATAGAAGATGAATTCATATAGAAGGATGACAGACACTGGAGCGTAATAGACCTAGATTTGAATCCTGGTTATTCCTTGTATATGGTTTATTAGTATGAGATCTTGACTTAACAGACTTTCTATTTCCTCATATGAAACATGGGTTAAAATATATCCTCACATATTGTAGGGATTCATATAATAAATTACATGAATATGTCTATCACTGTACTTGCAGGTTTTTCCTTCTCTGACTTGTTTGTGTTCTGGAATAGATTAATGAAAAAATGAGACTTTCTTTATCAAAAGTTCAGAAAAGGAGAACTATTTCCTGAAACTATGGTCATAAAAATATAAATATATATATGTACACATGCACACACACACACATATATTTTTATATATATCTTATTGTTTACTGCCTAAGGAAAAGTTTACTCATAGTACAGGAAGAGCTTGTTTGGAGTTGTGAGCCAGCCTGTACTACTGTCTCCATAGGCTAGTTCCTTATTCATCTTAAGAAGTTGAAATGTAAAGGACACCAGAGAGAGAGCCTCTCCTCCTTCACCCTACCTAAAAAATTTAATGCCAAGGAATCTGACAGCAGAGCTTAACACCAAAAAAAAAAAAAAAGTTGAACACATGAACACATCTAGGGCTAAGAAGCTCTTCAGTAGCCAAGAGCATGGTTATTTCCCTAGCATCCAGAAATAACTAGTACTTCAATTATTTGTACAGAAATCATATTTTTCTCCCTATGTTATTTGTAAGTAGCAGTTATTTAAATCAAACTGTGTGATCTCACAGAGCTACCAAATTCTAGATATGTTTTTTGAAAAAGTAGATAAATCTAGATTAATGAATAGAGAGGTATACTCACAGAAGTTTCTGTGAAAGATGGTGGATTGTCATTTTCATCCTCAAGTGAAATAGTAATTGTTCCTGTATTAAATAAACCGAAAGGCTGACCACCCATGTCTCGCACTTCCATTATTAACTGGTAAGTATCACATTTCTGAAAAAAAAGAAAAAGTACATTAATGAACACTTTTATTTCCTATAACTTGCAATTCTCACAACCACTGTTTAGATATGATTATTGTACAAATATTCATATATGTGTGTGTGTGCGAGCATATATATATATATTTATTTATATATTTGAGATGGAGTCTCGCTCCGTCACCCAGGCTGGAGTGCAGTGGCATGATCTTGGCTCACTGCTACCTCTGCCTCCCAAGTTCAAGCGATTCTCCTGCCTCAGCCTCCAGAGTAGCTGCGATTACAGGTGCCCGCCACCACACCCAGGTAATCTTTGTATTTTTCATAGAGACAGGTTTTTACTGTGTTGCCCAGGCTGGTCACGAATTCCTGAGCTTAGGCAATCTGCCTGCCTTGGCCTGCCAAAGTGCTGGTATTACAGATGTGAGCCACTGTGCCTGGCCCAAATCTTCTTTTTTACATATAATTTTGTTTAAAAAGAACATAAATAAAAGTACAGAACAAGATATTGGCTGATTGGTACAATGGAAAGGTGATGTGTCTAATATAACATTTTAAAATTTAAAGCTGCTTTATTTATAATTGCCAAAACTTGAAAGCAACCAAGATGTCCTTCAGTAGGTAAATGGGTAAATAAACTGGTACATCCAGACAATGAAATATTATTCAGTGCTAAAAAGAAAAGAGCTATCAAGACTTAAAAAGACACGAAAGAAATTTAAAAGCATATTACTAAATGAAAGAAGTCAATCTTAAAAGGCTACATACTATATTATTTCAACTACATGACGTTCTAAAAAAGGGCAAAAGTATAGAGACAGTAAAAATATCAGTGGTTGTCAGGAATTAAGAGGGAAGAAGCCATCAATAGGAGAAGTACTACAGAAGCACAATAATCCTCAATAGGAGGATTTTAGGGCAGTGAAACCACTCTGGATGATACTATAATGACGGATGCACGTCTTTATACATTTGTTCAAACTCATAGAATATATAGCACCAAGAGTGAACCACAATGTGAGAACTATGGACTTTAGGTAATAATGATATGTCAACATAAGTGTATCAGTTGTACCAAATATACCACTGTGGGGCAGGATGTTGATAGCAGGAAAGGCTACGTGTGGTTCGGGGGGATAGGGAGTATATGGGGACCGTCTTTATTTTCTTTATTTTGAGGCTGAGTCTCGCTCTCTCGCCCAGGCTGGAGTGCAGTGGTGCAATCTCGGCTCACTGCAAGCTCCGCCTCCCGGGTTCACGCCATTCTCCTGCCTCAGCCTCCCGAGTAGCTGGGACTACAGGCGCCCGCCACCATGCCCGGCTAATTTTTTTGTGTTTCTAGTAGAGACAGGGTTTCACCGTGTCAGCCAGGATGGTCTCGATCTCCTGACCTCGTGATCTGCCCGCCTCGGCCTCCCAGAGTGCTGGGATTACAGGCATGAGCCACCACGCCCAGCCTCCGTCGGTACTTTCTACTAAATTATGCTGTGAACCCAAAGCTGCTACACCAAAGTTTATTAATTTAAAAAGTTAAGCATATTGGAGTCAGATAAAAATAGTTTTTTAAAAACAAAAATAAAATAAATGTAAAGCAATTTTATCATCAACAGATCAAATCAGATTACTGATTTCAAGAGAGACCCTGTCTAATATATGGTACCTTCCCAACATCTCTGTAAGGACAGAGGACATCTCCAGATAAGCCCTAACCACAGCCTACAGAAGCATGCTGAGAAAGGAGGCCGGAGTGGCCATACTGCAACATTCTCTCATTCTCAGTTTAAATGTAGTTGAATGACTGGAAAGTTAATTAATCATCATTACTTCTCTATCCAGAAAAGGTGTAGTTGTGGTGATGACACCGGTATCTGGATGTATGGAGAAATGCTTTGGATGGTCTGGGATTTGTTGTAAGATTTTATATTTCAGACGAGTATGGAGAGTGTCAGGTTCGTCGAGATCTGTGGCAGTCACTTGTCCCACTGAAGTTCCTGTTTAGAAAAATCCAAAAGTGATAAAAATTTCCACTCATATAATTGAATCATAAACAAACTAAAATCAAGGCATTGTTGTAGCAAATTCTGCCCAAAACCACAAGTAGATTAGTTTTACTGTTAAGTTGAAGAATGTGAAACTGTTCTAAATGTCTCCAAGTCTCCCTTACTCAGGAACTTCAGTTAGGTAGCTCCTGTGAATAACATGATTTGTATTCTACGTAGATGAGAACAGTTCCCACAGTACCTTTAGAAACAGTAGTTCTGAATTTCTTTCTCTCCAAGTTCATGGGCTATTTTTAAATTTAACTTAATTTAATTTTAGATTTGGGGGTACACATGCAGGTTTGTTACAGGGGTATATTGTGCGATACTGAGGTTTGGGCTTCTAAGGATCCCATCACCAGCGTAGTGAATGTGGTACCAAATATGTAGTTTTTCAGCCCCTTCCCTCCTCCTTCCCTCCTACCTTTTGGAATCCCCATTGTTTATTGTTTCCATCTTTGTGTCTATGTGTACCCAATGTTCAACTCTCACTTATAAGTGAGAACATGTGGTATTTAGCTTTCTGTTTCTGTGTGAATTTGCTTCAAATAATGGCCTCCGGCTGCATCTCTGTTGATGCAAAAGACATGATTTTATTATTTTTTATGGCTGCATAGTATGCCATGGCCTTTGTGTACTACATTTTCTTTATCCAGTCCACCATTGAAGGGCACGTGGATTGATTTCATGTCTTTGCTATTGTGAATGGTGCTGCAATAAACATACAAGTGCAAGTGTCTTTTGGTAGAATGATTTGTTTTCCTTTGGGTATATACCTAGTAACGGCATTGCTGGCTCAAATAGTAGCTCTGTTTTTAGTTCTTTGAGCAATCTCCAAACTGCTTTCCACAGGGGATGAACTAATTTATATTCTCACCAATGGCATATAAGTGTTCATGGACCATTTTTGAATGGGACCTTCTCTGTATACCTTGTCTCTTTTATAACCCAACTTGATAATGTTAATCAGAGGAATACCGCATCTTTTCACGTAATAACAAATATTTTATCCTTTTATACTTTAATAAATGTGATACATTATTGATGTATACAAATAATTATTAATATATGCAAGACAAAATCATACACAGCAGTCTGTGTATCATTTAGACAAGCTTCATAGTCCAGACATGAGAGTGTTAGACACATTGCATTAGCATTGTGAAACAGCAGTATTATACACACATATGTACATGGAAACAGAATGGAGGAGGCCACAGGAAATAATAACTGCTCTTGCAACATTTGAAAATAAACTAGTCAGTCTTGTTACACCCCTTAGTAGTCTTGGGTCACAGTCTTGGCTTCACATAGCATCAAATCAGTTTAATTTTTTTTTTCATTTTGCTGGGAAGATATGCCAAAAAAGGCAATGTTTATGTTTTATATATCAGATCACTATTTCCATGCCATGATATATTTCTGGTTCCTTGAAAATGTATTGAAACTTTATAAAGATTCAAATTATGTACAGTTTCATAAATGCACCTGTGACACACATGTACTTGCTAAAAATATAAAATATCTTTATATTTAATATGAATGGCATTTGTCTGTTGCACATTCAGATCTGTTGTGTACTAATCTAACCAGTTAGTTACTTTATGTATCAATTAGCTACCTTCTATATGTGGGTAGCAAGATGAGCACAGAAAGGTTTTCCTTTGAGAAGTACATGATCTCATAAAACTAGAACGTTTTATGTAGTATCCTTGAAAGTCAAACATTTTTAAATGTTCTACATAATTGTGTTTAAAATATTAATAAGGAATTCAATGGAAGCAAAAATCTAGTGTTTTCCTAAAATTGCCATCATCCTAAACACTGGTTACAAAACTAGGCTAAAATGAAAGCTAATACCCAACAGTCATTTAATAAAGAGAATTCAGGAAAACACTGATAGTATAAGATTTTAATATAAACCGGTACTACACATACATAGCCTACAAAAGTCAAATCCTTCGAATTTCAAATGTCTGTTAAAAAATATTCCTTGACACTATAAAATAGACATTCCTGTATGTTTGGTTACATCACTTTTTTTGAGTATTTTTCTTGCTTAGAAGGAAAAGTTGAATTTTCCTACGTTTAGACTTCTACATATCCTTAAGTGACAGTTGTTTAAAAACCACTGAATGAATGAATGAAAAAATAACATCTTATTTTGTTGGAAGCAAAAATGATCCCTGGTCCATGTGTAAATCCCCTGTAATATTCTCTATGAATTTCTGGGTGTAGTCCGTTTCATACCGAACAACGACTTTTCCCAGTGGCAAAACTGAGCAACATTTCCTTCACTGCAGACTTTCTAAGCATGCATTGGTAAACCAAACACCAACTTCAGCAACAACCTCACCCTGGAGAGAATTGAGTCAAATAAATGCTACCAGAATTATAAAATCATGATATAAAAGAGAAAATGTATAATATTTTATCTTATGCATCTGCTTAAATTTAAAAAAGTTTGCTCAGAGTCATTTACGGCCCTTAATACGAATGTCACATAACAACAATTCCTCATGGGAGAAAGTATGAGTAATCAGAAATACCAGAAAAAGTATAAAATGCAATGATAAAAGGTAAACATCTTTAATTATAATACTTATGAAATGTCAAATAATCTTCTTATCATGCTACTATAAAATGTGAACTTACCGGATCGGCAATTTTCAGGCACAGTAAAGATAGTCATTTTGTGTTCAAAATATGGGGCGTTATCATTATCATCTTCAATTTTGATGATCAAGGGGAGTGGATATTCTGGTGCATAGCCATCTGCGGTTGTTGCATAGCCATATAACTGAAAGAAGGGAAAATATCATCAATGTATTCTCAAATGACAAATTATGCATAAAAGTAAGCCTAGCAGTGGGGGAAAATGCAACATTAAAAAAAAAAAAATCATTCCCAAAGACTCGTAACTAAGAAATGATGCAATGGAGAGATAACCCACAGATGCAGTCTCTGCCTGCCATGTGGTTTCAATCCCCTCTCGGTGTTATTGCTCATTATTCTCCCACTCTGAGCACCACGCACTACAGGTGTTCTCTGAATTAACTGTACACTGTTTTACTTGTTAGAATGCATGCAGATTTCCCCCAGTTATGTTATTAACACGTGTTTTTAAAGTTTATAAAAATACAATTCTATTATGTATAGATTTACATATACACACAAATAAATGGACATCACAACTATTTCAGGATAATTCAATTGTAAGTTCTTTACCTATATTTTCTGATTTTTCTATTGTAAGTATGTATTTCTTCACAATAAAAATGTTAATAAAAGCATATACATATCAGAAATTTCATTTCAAAATGAATGCCTTGTCCGCAACAGCCAGTATGTATTTAATGTCCTTTCCCTCTAAACTCCAAATTATTCCTACACCCCCCTTATGTGGTTTGTGCATAGTAAGTGTTCAGTAAATAGTTGATGAATGGATTTTCATCACTCATGGGACCAACTAAACCTACCCAAAGTGAATTCTGCATTAACTCAGTTTTTTACCACAACTAGCTCTTCTAATTTTCCCTACTGTAACCATTTCTAAATGAACTAGGATTAAAATTCCAGGCACTAAACTCCTCCCTCTCTCTCATAAATCTTAGGAGTCAGTTGCCAAGTTCTAGAGATTATGGCATTTTTGTGTTTCTCATGCATGTTCTCTTTTCTATTCCCATTGCCATCATTTTCATGTGACTCCAAATGCATTCTACATGTTGACACACCAACTTTGCTGCAGTTGTTCTGACATTCCCTGTTCCAATCGATGTAACCTCAGAAGTCAGATTTTATTGAGTTTTACAATTTTAACCACAATACTCACTAATCACACTCTTCAGTCACGAGGACTTATAATGTACAAACATGGTTGAGAGTAATTGAACTATTTTATTATAGATAACTTTAAATTCAGTAAAATTCTTTGTTATTTATCCAGGATTATAGACCAAAATATATCCTTTAAAATTCTATCATTATATTTTCTATACCTTCCCCCCCCAACTTCCCTTATTATATCCACTGTTTTTCCTCATCAATGGTAAATAGAAATTTAAAGTTTATATTGCATATTAATATCTTGAATATTAAATCAAATAATTGATTCTTATAATATGTGAACAAGCATACTTGAAAATATTAGTAAGTCAGTAATAAAGATATAATTCCGAGGAAATATTTCAATAATCCTACCGCAAACTGTTCATATTTCTCACGGTCAATGCTCCTTGTACAAAAGATATCTCCGGTGTCTTTCTCTATGTAAAACAAATTGAAGGGTTCTTTGTCCACGCCTGGTCCACTTATGGAATAAAAGATGGTGTAATTCTGTGCAGCATCAGATTGGATCTGCAGTAATAATTTAGGAATAGGACAAATATGTCATCATGAATATTTTCAACCTAACCTCTTGTGATGGTTTATTTTTTACCACTAGCCCTCTTTCCTACTCTCCTATTCTTTCTTTCTTCTGCTTAGGTGCCCATTATCTGCCAAGTTTTCCAAATTTTTATCTGCATTTTGCATTGTACAAAGCCAGAAATTCTGTCACTTATTTGATCTCAACTTTTTTGTCATTTGTATATCTATAACATTTGTAGAGTGATGCACCTTTTCAATTGTTATTTACTTATTCTTATCTTCATTTAAATAATAGTAACAGTTTCAGTGATTTTGAATTCTTTGGAATTGAAAATTATTTGATTAATAAAGCTAGAAGTAATGCAACTTTTCTTCCACAATTAGTTCCTCAAGAATTAGAAAATTTTGGCCAGGCACAGTGGCTCACGCCTGTAATCCCAGACATTTGGGAGGCTTAGGCAGGTGAATCACCTGAGATCAGGAGTTTGAGACCAAACTGGCCAACATGGCGAAACTCTGTCTCTACTAAAAATACAAAAATTAGCCGGGCATGGTGGTGGGTGTCTATAATCCCAGATACTTGGGAGGCTGAGGCAGAAGAATCACTTGAACCCAGGAGGCGGAGGTTGCAGTGAGCTGAGTTCATGCCACTATATTTCAAAATTTCAAAACTGTTCTATGTTTGCATTCTAGCTATGTAGCAGTGAGGCAATCTTACTTAGCAGAAATACAGGCCATTTTTATAAAAGATGAGTGCTAGTTTAAGCAAGAGTTGAACTATGCAAAACGTGTAGGTGTGCCTTCTGTACATTAGTGTTAACAAGTCTACCATAGTATTTTGGGGAATTTAGACATAGGCCTAAGAGCATCAGAAACTCCAAATATAAAACTTGTTTCTAAATTTCTAAATATGATACATGTAAGAAAGTAATAAGATATGCTGCATCACTTCTATGGGACCCTAATTCTGGTGAATAGATGATCATTACTTGTACCATTAAAGCTCTGATTCAATATGCTGTGCAATTCAAATGAAAAGTTTAAGAACCAAAAATTTGGACACGTATAAAATCAAATAAGGTGAAATGCACCTGCTGAACATGTTGTGGAAATGGACCCAATGAGTTCTCCATCAATGAAGCTGGAATAGGAGCCCATCGTCTCTTGCTGCGCTTGAGGGCTGTGTCTTTGGTATGTCTCTTCTTAGGAGCCTACATTTGACAAGAAACAAAGAAATGTAGCATTGCTTATCATTTTTGGAACTGTGATTTTTTACACATACATCAACAAACAGATGTAAGTGTTATACATTACAATCCCATGGCTAATCAGCAAAGTATTTCTGTTGATAAGACACACACACACCTCAGACTGCATTACGTTCCTCTGTTCTACCTATTTCTCTATTTACTCAGTTAACCACCAGGAAATGTATAGGACATTTGGAAAGACGCCACTTTGAAAAGTTATAAACCCCCCTAAAATAGACAATTTATTAATAAATATTTAATGATCAACTTCATTCCACTAGGAGTGGTACAACCAAAATCTGTTAAAACCCTCAGTCTACAATACAGTCATTTATACATCTATATAGACACAGGTGAGCATTTTCGCAAGTATACTTGATTTTATATAATGTGGGGATTTTACAATGTGGATACAAAATAACATTTTTTAAGTCTTAAGCATATTAAGAGGAGTTCATGTAATCAAAAAGAATTTAGTTGGGAAGTCCTCTCACAAATAGAATCATTCACGGTTTTATAAGACGAAATTTATTGTGGTGAATTTGCTGAAAATGAGATGTGAATTCCAGCAACTTTCTCCTTCCTGCTTTCTGAACTGATCTCTACCACTCACTGCAAGAAAATGAGCCTAGAGTCAAATATTCAAACCAGTCCTGTGGATTGGCCACACCTCCACTCTCTGAAGAGAGGGGCTCCCCTATAGAATTTTCTAGTGAGATGGGAGTAAGATTTAGACAATCTCTTCTCCTCTTTAAAGAGAGACTCAAACCTGCAATCAGTAGGAAGAGAGTCGCACTGGGTGGAGCCCACATCTCCAGCCTGAATCACATTTCACTGAGTTTTAGACCCGCCCTTGTCTTGTCCTTGCTCCTCAGGTTGGTTTGTTCTTATTGCCAAACTTGAAATCACTATTAGAAAACTTTGATATTCTTACTTTGCTCCCCGTCTACAGTCATTCATCTTTATAAAAGTTTGTAAATAGCTCTGCCACTCCTTAAAAGTCTAGCCTTTATTTACACTAATTGTAAGTGGAAAAGACAAACTTGTCATTCAATGGCATGGATTTTAACTTGAAAGGAGTATATAACACAAAGGACTCCCATAAGCAGATTACTGTGCTAGGCTGCTTAAGCCCTTGCCTTATACCTTGTTTTCTCTTGCTGACAGTACAACTTTTATCTCTTGTTGTTCATGTCTCTCACTACCTGAAAGGAAAATGGAAAAACTTTTCCTTTCAGAAGACAAAATGAGGTCACGTGTTGTGTAAATTGAGCCATCTTCTAGAATTCTGAAGGCAGGGTCACTGGACAGGATTAGGCTGGGCGACTTGAGACATTCCTCCAGATTCACTGCAGGGAAGAAATGTCATAGCAGTTTGTCAGATGAAACAGGAGTGGAACAAGTTTTACAGGAATGACAGCCGTGAGTTAGTGCATGAGAAGCAGAAAAAGGGAGGTTACATTTGGAATGTGCTCAGCACCTACTACTCTAAAACGTGGGGGCCATGAAAATTAAATAATTAAATTAATGGAATCACATTTTCCACTACCTTTGTCATACATTAATTTAAGAAATAAAATATTTTCCTAGTGTCACAGATTTTATTCTCTTTCCTTTGAACTCTTAATTATCGTGTGTGTGTATAAATGTATATGTGTACAAACTTGAATTTTTTATGTCATAAATGGTGTAACTGTATGATGTCAGTAGATTTTGAACTTTTTGCAATAGTTTGATAGTTAAAACTATCTTGCCAAAAATAAGAAAACTAGGTGGCTCACGCCTGTAATCCCAGCACTTTGGGAGGCCAAGGTAGGACGATCACGAGGTCAGGAGTTCTAGACCAGCCTGGCCAATACAGTGAAACTCCATCTCTACTAAAAATACAAAAATTATCCAAGCATGGCGGTGTGCACCTGTAATTCCAGCTACTCAGGAGGCTGAGTCAGGAGAATTGTTTGAACCTGAGAGGTGAAGGTTGTAGTGAGCAGAGATAGCACCACTGCACTTCAGACCGGGCAACAGAGCAAGACTTTGTCTCAAAATAAATAAATAAATAAATAAGAAGAAAACTAGTCTATTCTCAAGTAATATTTCCCAGTAATGTTGCAAGTAATTCCACCTACTCAGGAGGCTGAGTCAGGAGAATTGCTTGAACCTGAGAGGTGAAGGTTGCAGTGAGCAGAGATAGCACCACTGCACTTCAGCCTGGGCAACAGAGCAAGGCTTTGTCTCAAAATAAATAAACAAATAAGAAGAAAACTAGTCTATTCTTAAGTAATATTTCCCAGTAATATTGCAAATAATCTTTCTGTAATACCTTTCGAGGTTTAGTAAACCCAATGCATTGTAGTTATTATCAAATTACCTCCTTTACAGATTCATATTTAACACATTTAATGTATTAACTATGTGTCTTTAGAGTGTGGACTGTTTATTAATTTAAAAACTTAAAGCACTGGGCAAAACAACATCTGGCTTGGAAAGGATACCATTTCTGTATTCAGTGTGTAATTTTTTACATGTGAACTCAAAGCCAGTGAAAACTCTTGATGAAAAAATCTTTACCTTTGGACTCAGAACAACCAACTGGCTATGGTACTAAGACCCACCAAATCTTTATTTGATTTTCACAAGCTATTCTGTGAAATATGTCACGTTTATTCTTGGTGGATACTTGTTCATTGTAATCAACCTCAAGTACAAATTTTATTGGAAGCATTTAAATGTTGAGACATCCATTTCGTGTCTAATCAATTAAAGAATCTTGGCTTTGAAATTTTGGTAGCAGATTAGTTTATACAAATTAGAATATGCTCATGGTTTTGGTGCCTTGCTCTGTTTGATGTAATCCAAGAGAATTCAGCCTTCTGATGTTTGCTAATACTTTGGCAAGAGAAGTATACAACTAACTGAGATATTTTAATTATTCCTAACCATTACCAAAAAACAAGTAGCCTATCTTTTATTGTACATCCAATGTTAACGTCAAGTAGCTACCATGTGGCTTTTAACCCAAACTTTACAAGAGCAGTCTGAAGCTAAATGTGGCAAGTTACAACTACGAAATTGTTAAAAGAGTTTCTCACCTTTGCCTACAAGTGTTTCAGCCTGAAGATGAGAAGGAACTCGAAGATAAATTTTCTGACAAGCATCGCAAAGTAGTATTAAAACCTCAAAAAAAAAAAAAAAGAAAAAATATCAGGAATTAAATTTGATCACAAATTTTCACATTATAACTTTTTCTTATTGATAAAAATATTGTCAGTTTTGGAAACAAACTGATCATTTAATTCTTTAAATTTTTAATACTCACTTTAAAAGGAACCAGCAAAGAGAATAGCTTTAGGAATAACACTGTCATTTATTTATCAATGAAAAAATTAAGTGAATAGTAGTTCTTACAACCTAAATCATATTGTGTCAGTGCAAGAAAATATTTCACAAGCCATTGACTTTATATAGCAGTTTTACATCTCTAAGACCACTCATAAATGCCATTCTGATTTTTAGCATGAAGAAAATACTTAACTCTGAAATGCGTAATTACATATATGTCCTAATTCTCTAATCATCATTTTTACTATTTGAAGTTATAGTTAATGAAGTCTAGAAAATAGTTAAGGACTTTTTTAACCTCACAAAAAAACAATGCTCCCCAGAAATCATTGTTCTCAAATCAATTTTCAGACTTGGCCAAAACTTCAAAGTCTAAACGATCTCAAATTACATGACTACTCTAAAAAGAATATATGTCAAAATATGGAGAGTATCCTTCAAATGGGTAAAGATTTTTAATTAAATTCAAGACCCAGCTATAGTTTTTAAAAACTAGGTAGTTCAAAGACATAGATACTATCTGAAAAACAAAAGAAAAGCTATCATTTCAAAAATGTCTGTAGGTTCAAAATATATTTTGCTTCTTTTTCTCTGCATTTTCTGTTTGTTTCTTTTTATCACAATAACTGCTTTATTATTATTTAAATATAAGATAGAGTAGAGCTAGGTTTTCCGGAAACATGTAGGTTAATTTTATGATCAGCTTTCAGCTTTTCTCTGAATTCTAGAATTACGGGACCCATTATTTGTGAGGAGGAAAGAGAATGGATTAGCATTCATATTAAGGATGTGCACTTCTCCAGCTCAACTCAAGTCTGTAAGATATATTGTAGCAGTCTAAATAGTTTGTAATTTTACAAATCTATGTTAGGCAGAAATCTGGAATTAAATGGCCACATTTTTATTTAGTTCTAATTTTAAAACCACTTTTTAAAACATGAGACATTTGTATTTATTTAACTTTTTAAGTATGTTCATCCCTAATGCCAAGGAACATACTAAATAACACTTAAAGAACTTTCTAAGCATAAACCATACTGTTAATAGTTGTGTAAGTATATGATGTGGAAAGAGCATTTTGTAATTAGGACATACACACACACAAACACATACATATGTACACATATATATGCATATACCTGTACATATACCTATACCTATATACGTATATGTATGTGTGTATATATACACATAGTTATATATTGCTTACATTGTAAGAAATGCAACTTTAAGTGATTTCATCATTGTGCAGACATCACAGAGTGTACTTACATACACTTAGAGGATATAGTCTGCTACACATCTAGGTTATGCCTACATGATATACACCATGGTGTATATATGTATATCCCATGGTATGCACCATGGTACAGCCTAGGTGTATAGTATATAGTATAGCTTATTGTTCCTAAGCTACAAACCTGTACAGCATGTTCCTCTACTGAATACTGTAGGCAATTGTAAGTATTTGTGTTACTAAACATTTTTAGACATAGAAAAAGTACATTAAAATACAATATAAAAGATAAAAAGTGGTTCACCTATATAGACTAGCTCCATTATAATCTATGAGACCACTCATATATGTAGTCCATCATTGACTGAAGCATTGTTATGCAGAGCATGACTGTATATGTGTGTGTATATATAGAGAGAGGTGCACATATATATATATATATATATATATATATGAGACATTCTTATAGGTTATATCCATACTTCCACTCCCGCCCCCATCTTCTTTCCTTCTTGTCCTAGGATTCCATGTTGACGGTCCTCCCTCTGCAGGCAGAGCCACTGAAGGTTTCCATTCATTAAACACTATTCCCATCTTCAGGTTAAATCACTGACTAAGTGGCTTAGTGACACCCTTTTAGTCAGTTTCAGGTCAGAAATAAGTGAGCAGGAGATGAATTTTCCAAAGATATTAGACAGTACAGGGATCAGAAACAAAAGAAATGTGGGTAGAATCCTTTGGAAAATTTTTACCACATTTTACCAAACTTGTACTAACTCAAGATGATATCTGAGTTATCTTCTCCCTAAGCAGTTACAAGATGAGAAGGTGACCTTCAACTCTGCATTGTATATTATTTACATGGAGAACATGTTTGTCCCCATACCTGCCATTTCTAAAAATATAATTTGAAACTAAAATATTTTGCTTAAATGAAGAAAAAGGAAATTCGCACCTCAGAAATGATGGATGGATGTGTGAAATAACCCCCCTCTCTTCCCTCACCACCAAAGAAAAAATAGCACCTTACACAGTTACAAAGCTATTAAAAACCCAAGTGGAAGCCAAGTTAAGGGTATTTTCAATGACAGTCACATTTCTGTTATTTTTCTTAAACTATTCTTTGCTTAAACTGCTTCATGAGTAAAATTCAAAAAGTCCTGGATAATTTGCATATTCACCCAGAATCCTTTCTCCTTTTTTTGCAGCTCAGTAGTACTCAGCATGTTAAATAACATAAGTTTATGTAATCACTGGTAGCAAAAGTAAACCTCAGAAACTTCTGGGCCAAATACCTAAAGAGTGAATTCGTTTCTCTACTCCTTACAAAAACACCACAGCAGGATGGAAGAGGGATTTCCTTGAAAAATTTTAACACTCTGGCAGTGGGTGCTTGAGAAATATGCTGAAGACTTTCCATCCTGGATCCCAAGTCTCTCAACTCTTCCCTGAATCTTCCTCAGATCTGTTTTTCTTTTCCCCAGTCCCTCTTCTCTGCCTCCCATCTGCACTCCTAGTCTCTTTCAAGCCCGAACTGCAGAGAGGAAGCAGGTAGTAACATGCCTGAATTCCCTAATCCTTTGGTTGTTACTCACCAGGAGAGAGAAAAGGAGCTGCTTACAGAAGATGCTCCCTGGGGCAGCGGAGGCCACAGCCATCAGAAGCAGTCCCAATGGCCAGGGACGGTGGCCAGATAACAGGGCAGCCTGGGATGCACAGGGCTGCTAAGAAGACGCTGGCACTTGCACAGGGTATTCTGCTGCCACCCTGATGCAGCTGAGCTTGGTTTGGAAGACAGTCAGGAGGCAAGTGATAAAGAGGAGGAGGAGCAACGGGAGAATTTCTTTCCCCCTATTCCCCGGCCAGTCTGCTTCCTTCCAGTTCAATTATGTCTAAATGCAAAGAGGCTTTCCTACAAGTGAGGAGGGTGGGGTACAAAACACCCCAAAACCCAGTCAGTAGCTCCTCCTCACAGCAGCTTTCAAAATTTATCTTGCCACTTAACACATAGGCAGAAGGAGGAGGGAACACCCTTCACCCTCAGCCCTCCTCCCTTTCCCCCAGGTTGATGCTGTGAAGTCCTCCCCAGTTATTACCCACTCCCACAGCCTCCCCTCCTTCTTGGCCTTATTAACCTGTCTTGCCCCAGGGTACAAACATAAATTGTGCACAAACGCCATGCAAGTAAGTGATGCCTCCTCAACTGCCATTGGCAAATCAGAGGACCTAAGCGTGTGTAATCAGACTCATCAGAAGTTATCTCCCATCTAAGCATTCAGGTGCTGTCGGTCCTGTAGAACAGTGCAGTTCTGCTAGAGAGCTGGCATTCCAGTTTAAAGCAGCAACTTTATGAAGGCATCGTATCTACTTCCTGTTATTGACTTTTCACTGTGGTTGGCCCTCTAGATGTCACAAGGAACTTATCAGAGTGTAAAGACTTCATAAAAGAAAGAGCATAAAGAAATAGCTAGAATATAATCTTTCCTGTGGCTTTCCTTGTATTGTACATGAGCCATTGCTTTTTACTCTTATATTTTTTCAAGGACAACTACAATCTTTGAGACCCAGTCTCTCTAAAATCACTCCATTCACCCTAATTACTTGTACTTTACACATGGGATATCCTAGCCTAATGGTACAATGAGGCCATCAAGTGTAGGTTTTTTAAAATCCTAATGATTCGTCTAATAAGAGCTTTAGCATCATTATTCCTGTCCCAAATTAGTGAGCTCAGTGATATCAATTGCACTCAATGGCAGTGATGGAAGTTAGGAGTGGAGGATAAATATTTTCAAACGTTAAGGTAGAGCCCAACACCCATGCTGCTGAGAAGTGAGGAATGAAAGATTTTCTTCAGCTTATTTGACAATGGGAAAAATTTCTTCTTGTGTGTAGAGACAGAAATAAATGTAACTGCTTCATTAGAATTAGAAGCTAGGAAAATTTGGAAAATGAATGACCCACGAGAAAAAAGCTAAAAGATATCTTGTAGTATTTTATTGCTAGTGGTATACCCATTAACAAATATATTTTGTGACTGCATTGGAATTTGATTTCTCAATCAGAAAATACATTCACTTTAATGGAATATTTTTATATCTGGCATTTTGGGAGAAAAGAATGGGAATATAGAAGTAGAAAAATTACTTAGATGTATATGTGTAAAGCCAAGTGTAATTCTGTGCATGTTTTAGCACAATCATCTAAGTATATATTTAGATAGATAGACAGACAGATAAATAGTCACATAGCTTAAATAATTCACAGACAAATTCTCCAATCCTAGAAAGTAGAAACACATTTTTTTCAGCTAATGAAGTTATCATTACCTCTTTCTATAACATGATATTCTCCATTAACTAGGAAAATATAGAAGAGCAAAATTAAATTGGTGTTACTGAACAAAATGGCATATATTGGTTGGATGAAGAGATTCCATGCACTGCTAAATTCAAGTGAATCCAGAATACTGTCCACAGTTCTGGGAAATTAATGTTCTGATCCTACTTCTTTTGGCTTACCTTCTACATGCTCTCTTTTCCCATTATCTATCTTTCTCAAAGGTAATAGAAAAACTTGTGTAAAAGCTAACCCCAAATTATTGGTTTGCAAATCTGTTACATTACTATTTCTCCCATATTTTGTACTTGCACACAAAGTTTTCCTAAAAATAAAATATAGGCATTTTATAGGAAAAAAAAATTTATTATCACAAATTATTGACTCTTCCTTAAAAGTGAATCTACCTTAAAATTAAATGAAAACAAGATATATTTCTTCTAATTTTCTGCCATCAGGTTATTCAGTAAAAGCTCTGTCTTAGTCTGTTTTCTGTTGCTATAAAGAAATACCACAGAGTGGGTAATTTATTAAAAAAAAACAACAAAACAAAAACAAAACAAAACAAAAAATAGAAGTTTGTTTGGTTCATGCTTCAGGAGACTGTGAAGTCCAAGAGCATGACATGGGCATCTGATGAGGGTCATCCCATGATGGAAGACAGAAGACAGAAGCCAGGCACAAGATGGACAGGGAAGTGGCCAAACTTACCCAGTTATCAGAAGCCCACTCTCATGATAACTAACCCACTCCTGAGGGTGGAGACTCATGGCATAACTTTTAAAGGTCCCACCTCTTAGCACCATTACAATGGCAACCAAATTTCAACATGACTTTTGGCAGGGACATTCAAACCACTGCAAGCTCTATTTTATTTTTATTTCTATCTGTATGTTTCTTTGTTTTAATCTATGCCTAAATTAATAAGCTTAAGCAAAAGATTGATAGTGTTGTGTGGTGGTTAAGAACTTGGACTTAGAAGCTTGACTGCCTGAGTTCAAATCCTCGCTTTACTACTTATTAGTAATATAACCCCTAGGCAAGTTAGTTAACTCTTCTGTGCCTCAATCTCTTTATCTATAACATGGGGACAATAATAGTAGCTAATTCATAGGTTGTTATGAAGATTAAATGTGATATTATAAAGAAAATACTTCCAACAGTGTCTGGCTCAGAGCAAGCACTAATATTTTACAACATATAATTGCCTAGTCATGCAATAAAAAGTTGAAGAGACTGAACTTCAAATTAAACAAACACAATGTTATTGCAAATCCAAGGTTTCTTATGTAGAGGCTACCTAAAGATGCATGAATAGGTTTATTCATCGAACAAACAGTTAAGGGGTTACATACTGGGCTCTGACCTTTGCTAGGAGAGAAACATCATATGGGGAGAAAAAAAGAAGACAGAAATCTTATGACGTTACAATAAAGGCACACTTTATGGTGAAGAACATACAATTATCTTTCCAGTTCAAAAGATAGGATTAAAAGAGTCACTGTAGCAAATATTAAATATATTAGCCACTTAAAGAGAAATTAAGAACAATGATTAAATGTTGAGAAACCCCTATAGAATAAAATATTTTATTTTAAATACATAAATATTGCATAATCTGTTTTCTACCACACATTTATGGTCATACAGAGAAAGATTTAAATATAAAGATCCTCATGACTCTTGTATTTCTTTAGTTTTTTTTTAACCTTAAGGCACATCAAGGAAAAACACCTTTTTATAAATTTAAATAATATATTTTATGGAAATACAGTGACAAATTTCATTAAAGATGTTTATGTATGACCAACTTACAGAAAGCATTCATTATGAATAAATTCAGGGCCTCAAAAAAGCCATTTACAGATAGAACCATTATCTCTGTAAGATGACCTAATTTATTCTAAAAGACTCCTAGGCTGGTAGGAATGCTGTACACATTGATGAAGCCATTACAAGGTACTTTGGGTTATGTATGAATGACTAAATATGTAGTTTAGTAAATATAATAAACTATAGGTGTAAAAAGAGAGTTTGTGAGTTTAGTATGGGCGAAGTGTATGAACAAAGAAAAAGAAGCATTAGCTATTAAAAAAAATAAATAAAAATTAAAAAACTTGGCTCCCATGAGTTCAATGCACTGCAGTGGAAACTCCTTCAATCTCCCTAGACTCACAGTCTTTTACCTGGGTAAAGGACTATTAAACATTAGAAGTAACTTGTGTGTACTAATAGTTACTAACAATGATTTCTCAAGGCTGTTTGCGTAGAATAGTGATTAATTTTATATAAAATAATCACTCCCCATTATTATCGAAACTGTTGACAAACCTATGAAAAGAAATGTTAGCACACATCTCTGGGTAGTTCAGAACTCTTTCTATTCAGCCCACACACCTAACTCAAACTGGCTTAAGAGAAAACAAAACAAAATTGTTGAGCACAAAAGGATTTGCTAGGTCATGTAACTGGAAGGCTGGGGATAACCTAACTAAGATTTAAGCATAAATTCTCTCCATCTCTTAGTTCTGCCTTTTTTTGTGTTGGTTTCATTATTTCAGTTTTGCCAGTGTGGAGGCGAAGATGACCACCAGAAGCTCCAGGATTTCAACAGTGACTAGTTTAGCAAGTCATTGTTGAAAGAACATGCCTTGTTCCCAATAGTTTGAACAAAACACAGTCCTTCTGGCCTGAATCTTATACATAAACCTAAAGTCAAGTGGTGGGCCTGACCACATGGACAAAAAAATGTTGGAGAAGTGATTGCCCAAAAATGACACTAGGCTAGACAGAAAAAAAGGATAAACAGTAACTAGACAGGCAAATCAACAGATGTCCACTAAACTTACTGTTTCTAATTGTTATTTCAATAATACTAGTTAGTTATTCATCATTTATTAACACCTTCTGCATGCTGAGTACTACCAGTGGGGCTGACGATACAAAGCTGAAGAAGACATGATATCTGCCCTCATGGAGCTTACACTTTACTATATGTTTTGAAAATTACAGTAGTTTCCAAGATGGTCAGGAAGAAAATCCTGGTGAAATGAATATGACAAATACTTTAGATTTTTATTTATTTATTGCTCTTTTCTCCAATTATTATTTCCTTTGGTGGCCTTCAAAGCTACACGTTTGAAAGGAAATTTTTAATGTGGATAGAATCTTACTATCAATTACTTATATATTAAGAATCATATTATTAAATGTTCATTTTAAGCATGGTAATATATACTCACTAAAGATAATCTTTTTATATACATGTTTCCAGTCCAGTTTCTGTGTGTGGAATTTTTAACATTGGTATACTTGTACTGTGAACATAAGTTTGTAGCATGCTTTCTCCTAGCTATAACATAAAATCTGTCCTACGTCATGACAATTCTATATAGCTACCATGTTAATGACTGTAATAAATTCCTTCAAATAACTATATCACAACTGATTTAGCCAGTTCCTAATATTGATCATTTAAATTGTTTTCAATTTTTCATTATTATAAAAACCACCCTAATACGTAAAGCTTTTTTCTGAACTCAGGATTATTTCTTGAGATGTAGACCCACAAACAGAAGTTCTAGGTCAAAATATAAGGAAAATAATGGTTTTTGGTATATAAAGCTAACTTGCATCACCAAAGCAGAGTACCAATATACCTTCTTACTGTCAATGAATACAACAGTAAATATCAGAGTAAGAATTGAATATAATCATTTCATTCTTTAAAATCTTGCTGTGTCTATGAGAAATTATAGACATGATTTGCATTTTAATTATTTGCCTATTCATAATGTTGAGTACTTTTTCATGACTTCCAAGCAGTTGCATTTGGGCCAGGCTGGAGCGAAGTGGCAGGATCTTGGCTCACTGCAACCTCTGACCCCACTCCCAACCGGGTTCAAGCGATTCTCCTTCCTCAGCCTCCCCAGCAGCTGGGATTACAGACTTCCACCACCACACCCAGCTAATTTTTGTATTTTTAGTAGAGACAGAGTTTCATCATGTTGGCCAGGCTGGTCTCAAGCTCCTGACCTCAGGTGATCCAGGCTTCAGCCTCCCAAAGTGCTAGGATTGCAGGTGTGAGCCATAGCACCTGGCGTATATGTACTTTTAATATCTCAGCAGGTATTTGGAACTATGAGAAAATTATCCCATTTAAAATAAACCAAAGAAGTTAACAAGTAAATCTCTCTCTTAAATGGGGTTTTCTTTGAGATGAGAAAGTTGTTACTCCTTTTAATACCTAGCCTTTTATTGTGTTTGTGATTGAATCTGATGACAGTGAAATCGAACTTTTGTTTTACAAGTTGGTTGAAAACCTAATCTTCCCCGAGAAACTATTGGCATTTTTAGAACTAACAACCACAAAACTCACCCAGAGCATTATAAATTGATTTGTTGGCTAGATTGAAGCGCCGGTGTTGTTACTTCTATAGCAAATGTGATGCATACTCGAAGAAACCGTTTCTATTTCTTTGCTATTGAACTAAATATAAAACCCATTCCTCAAGGTTTCTGCACCTTGTTTTGGATGTAACAGAAATGAATGTCTATTGATTGGTTTCTGAATAGTGTTTCATAAAATGCCCTTAAGAATTTATCTTACCTAAGGTTAATCGAACAAACAAACAAACCATAAACTCAATGGCTCAGATGCTCCTTTGTGGGTCCAAGGGTGAAGATGAAGGATTAAATTGCTGGTCTTTCCAATGGTCACTATAAACTGCTGCTATTTTTATGTGCTGAAAAATTAGAAAGATGAAAATGGAAGACTGAAACTGTTTTATGTGGTCAAATATAACACTTTCTCCTCTAGGGATGTGGATAGAGAAGATGACAGATTGTACTATCTTTTGGTAAAAGTTTGCTTTTCCCCAGAGTAATTTGAACTAGAATATTTCTGAGAATTATTTCCTGTACCTTGGAGATGTTTGTGACTGCCTGCAAGCTTGTCTTTCTCCTAAGACAAATCCAAGGTCTCAGGTACTAAGTTTTACCTCAGTTTAACTTAAGCTACTATGTTGAATCTCTTGCTATTTAGCGACTATTCTGAAAGGTACGTTACAGTACTTTTTGTCAAAGCTCTGGTGGTGCTATCTTAGATGAAATAATTTAATTTTTAAAGAATGTATTGTTATACCACTGTATCCTATAGATTTTTCTAGTGGAAGGGAAGGAGGGTGGAGATTAGGTTGTCCTCATTACTTGTGATTAGGAGATAAAGTTTTCCTAGTGAGGCAGAAGCATGTACAGATTCACACCATGAACAACTGAAGACAGGATACTGGCCAAAGCTAGAAAGTAGAGAGGCTGGGCGTGGTGGCTCATGCCTGTAATCCCAACAC